AGGAATACATCGTGAATTGATAAATAGAGAATCCTTACAGATCCACCGACGTATGCACGCTTCTAATTTCGCTCTAACTCGCGTTAATTAGCAAATATAATTAACCCAGCGAGGAAAGCCGGCGCGTGTTTCGTCTTTTTCAACCTACTCGCAGACGAATTTACCAAGGCTAGGAAAAGATAATTATTCGTTGTGTTTCTTAGAACAATAATATACACCTTCGTGCCTACAGGATGTTCAGATTAACTATTCGATAAAGAATTTCACGCATGCTGGAACACGTATTTCTTTCTTATTATCGCGTCTTTGTAAATAACGCTCGGATCGAAGAGCAGCTAAATGGAAACAGCGTTATTAAAAATATCAGCAGTGAATATATCCAGTATAGGAATAAGACAATTTTTGTTCGTATTTTTGATTTGGTTATATAAGAGTATATAGGTTTTGCATATGAAAAATAGAAGAAAATGCAAGAACAAAAGAATTAATCGGGAAATTTTATTTTGATTTTTATTTTATTTTATTTTATTTTGTTATTCGAACAAATTAATAATTAACACATGGAAAATTCTATGTCCAAAATCATCTCAGGAGGTGATGAGTAGTATAATAGCAAATAAAAGAAAAAATATGTGTAAAATATTTTTAATTACTCTATCACTCTGCGAAATTTGATCAAAATCAAGGATTCATACCTCCTTCATATGCCTCCTCGTTAATTAATTCGAATATTAATTTTTCTTTAGTCTCGACAAATTCGAGCTTCGCGAAATTAAAATCGTGTTATTGTTATTATTTTAACACACTTTATTTCGACTTTTATTTTATTTCGATTTTCATTTAGATTTTTATTTGATTTCAGTTTGATTTTATTTTGTTATTCAAATAAATTAATAATTAACACATGGAAAATTCTATGTCCAAAATCATCTCAGGAGGTGATGAGTAGTATAATAGGAAATAAAAGAAAAAATAGGTGTAAAATATTTTTAATTACTCTATCACTCTGCGAAATTTGATCAAAATCAGGAATTTATACCTCCTTCATATGCCTGCTCGTTAATTAATTCGAATATTAATTTTTCTTTAGCCTCGACAAATTCGACCCTCGCGAAATTAAAATCGCGTTATTATTACTCTAACACGCTTCCTCGTCGGTATACTAAACAAGCTGTTAGTACTAATTGCAAGTACTAAGTATTTTCACACACGTATGTTACCAACACTCAACCAGCCAATTGGAATATTAATTTTTTCCAGCCTTCACAAATTTAATTCCGGGAAGATCGAACTCACGTTATTACCACATTATCAAAATTCTAATATTTCGAAGACCGCATTGAAAATTTGGAAATATATTCTAGGGATATTCTAGGGACTATATACTATTGATTAAAGCAATAAAAAGGAGAAGTCGATTTTTCTGGAGTTGGAAAATGAAACTGTGGCACTTATCGGCAGATACTCACGAATCACGACACGATTCTACGGAGACTGGAATTTATTAAAAAATTTTTCCGCGCCACGATTCAATCCCGCGATTCGGGATCAAATACAAATTCCACGAGGCATAGCAAAGTGCATTGACGAATCCCTATAAATAATTACACTCGTCACCAGAGTCCAAGGCCGAATCTAGCGTGAACTGCTAACGATACCGTGAACTAGCTGATCAACAGACCACGTCGATCACTCCACGTGCCTCTTCCAACCAAATCCACCCGGACGTGAACCCAAAATGCCGAACATCACCGATCACGTTCGAGGCCACTCGCCAGATACAGAAAAGATTCCACTTCGTGGCTCGGTCGTGGTTTAATTTAGCTCGTGAGGATGATGGAGGCGGTACACGGCCAGGTCACGAAATTCATCAGAAGTTCAAGTTTATACGACTCGGGAGACGAAAGTAGCAATTTCAGCCACGCAGCCGAATGTCTGGACTCGTGTCAGGCCACACCAAGGGCCGAAGAGTGGTGTTAGCGGTGGATGAAATTTAGTAACAACAAGAACAATTCTTTATTTAACTAGAACGATTATAAAACACAAATATAACGTTTAAATGTAATTAATTTTTCACAATTACACTATCACAGGACTTCTCGCTATTATAACTCAATTGCAACTAACGTACCCGAAATCACTCCCTTTTTTCTTTCTTCTTCGTATATTACATTCACATACACAATTCACACACACCTCAATCATTACACGCATACTCATTTATCATAATAACCTGAATTCATTACATATTGGAATCCCATGCATACTTGTTCCACTCATCCCAACACGTATATAGTTAAAAATCTATGTAACCACTACCACAAATGGCTCCTAGGAATTGGCCTTTTGCCTTTCGAGTAGGTTCAACGAATTTTTTCGAGAGGTAATATCGATACCGATAAGAGAGACGATGAATAAAAATTTGGAAAAGTAACATGGAAGTTAACACTGAAACTACCGATCTCTGATAGGTACGTAAACAGAGATGATAGTGATATTAATGGAACGATGAAGATAAGTAAATACAGTGATTATAGATCTCCCTCAGTGTGAGTCAATATTAATTTTTTCGAAGGCAGGTATATGATTTTTGGTGACTGTAAAAAGGAAAATTCTGAGACCAATTATTTTCAATGGATTGATAGTTCTAGAGGTAATATTGAACGTTGGGGAATTGAATTTAAGCGCGAATGATTCTAGGGATCCCTAGATTACTAGTTTCTTCTTCTCGTTTGGAGTGCACGTGTTATTTAATACTGGTAATGACTATGGATTAAGTTTTTACGATTTGATTATCTGATACGATTATTGCATTATGTATCTCGGAAATAAATCGTGGCTTTTAGGCGTGGTGTCCAAACTTACACGGTTTCGATAAAGATAAGCGAAAATTCTAGTAATTTGTACAACTTTCTCAATGAGACGATCTCGGAAGGCGAAAATGTTTGAGAAAATTTTTAAATCGATGAAATTTAGAATGAAAGTAAAATCCTGGGAAAACGTTAATTTATTTCCAGGTAATCTGATATTCTATTTTATGACATTAATCGATACGCACGACGTGCATAATCGTACTCACGTATATATATCCAGCCGAAAGAGAGCGGAGAAGCACGTGGAGACAGTCAAGAAGATGGACAGAAAAGTTGAGTCACTCTTTCACGACACACTCCTAACCCTGCTATCAGTTCGACTGAAAAAGGCTTATCAGATACGATCGCTACGTCTGGGACCGTTTATCTTTCACTTGTACGACACCACTTCACAGAATCATTTTTCCCTAACACTCGAGACTGTTTATTAAACCCAGCTGTGGCTCGTGATTTCACACGTGCGATTTAATACGTAAAAGAACGTATGTGCTCCTTTGATGTACCGTCACGTCCAACCTTAGCTTCGTTTGCCAGTTGTCAGTTCGTAGCGTAGAATCTCTACATCGAATATTACCTAATAGGTCATCCCTATAAGACATTCTTTTCTTCCACGTCATACTGACTTAGCGTCGCATTATCATGTTCCTCTATCTCGTCGATAGAACCTCGTAAGTCAAACATCTGCGAGTTCGACACCTAATACCGCGGAGAATTCGAAGAAGATAGCGCAGGTGTTCTCTGGTTCTTCGAAAAAGACCGATTGCGATCGTTTTGTAAGTCGAATGTTAAGATTCAGGTTTCGAGATCGACTTAGCCTCGGAAGGTTTCGGAGAACCATCGCGTGGTAAACAAGGTTCACTTGATTTCAAATGATTCGAAAGATTCGAATGACTTTAGAGACGTATCGTGTGACAGGAAAGGTTCATTTGGGTTCCATAGATTCGACTCAGTGATCATACAGCAAAGAAGGTTGACTCGGATTCGAATGATTCGAATGATTGGATTCGAATGATTCGAGGGAACTATTGCGTAGGAAGGAAGTATGGCTGAGATTCGAAAGATTCGAGGGAAACATCGCGTAGGAAGCAAGTATGACTTGGATTCGAAAGATTCGAAAGATTCGAAAGATTCGAAGACTAGACCTATCTTATGGCAAGAAGAATCGGCATGGGTTCCAAAAATTCGAAAAATTCCGAAGAATTACCGCGCAGCAAAGAAGATTGACTCAGATTCGAATGATTCGAAGGAAGCATCGCATAGGAAAAAAAGTATGACTATAATTCGAATGATTCGAAAGATTAGAGAGGTATCATGTACTAAGAAAGATTGACTTGGGTTTCAAAGATTCGATAGAGTGATCGTGCGACAATAAAAATTGCGTGAGACTTGAAAGATTCGAAAGACTCCGAAGAATTACCGTGCAGTAAGGTAGATTGGCTCAAATTCGAATGATTCAAAAGAAGCATCGCATAGAAATAAAGTACGACTAAGATTCGAATGATTCGAAAGACTAGAGAGGTATCTTTTGATAAGAAAAATTGACTTGGACTCCAAAGATTCGACAGAGTGATCGTGCGACAACAAAAATTGACTGAGACTTCAAAGATTCGAAAGAATCCAAAGAACTACCGTGCAGTAAAGTAGATTGACTCAGATACGAATGATTCGAGGGAAACATCGCATAAAAAAAAGTATCACTATAATTCGAATGATTCGAAAAACTAGAGAGGTATCACGTGATAAGAAAGATTGACTTGGGTTCCAAAGATTCGACAGAGTGATCGTGCGACAAGAAAAATTGCGTGAGACTTGAAAGATTCGAAAGACTCCGAAGAACCACCGTGCAGCAAAGAAGATTGACTCAGATTCGAAAGTTTCGAGGGAAGCTCCGTGTTGAAAAGCTCGGAAAGATTCCAGAGAAGCATCACGCGTTAAGGAAGATTGATTCGAAGGAAGTATCACGTGACAAGGCACACTGCCTCCGACTGTGAAGACCCAAAGAAACCGTGGCGTGTGAAGACAGGACAATTGCTCAAAGATGAAAACATTAGATACCAGGAATCACTGCACTTGACAATAAAATGGCCACTCCAAAGCAGAACTTTTGTATCCAAAATCCAAAATTACCTGATCGGTCATTCTCCGTGAAACACTTGCCTCTTCCACGTCATCTCTGTTCAGGCCTTTTCGGATGCTCTGGTCGGCCCAAGATTCGCGGAACTTCGGAGATCCGACAGATAACGAGCTCCTTTATCTCACAGATTAGAACCTCGAACGACGAGCACCTGCGACACCGAGGCCAAGTATCGCGAAGAATCGGAGTAAGATATCGCAGGTGTCTTCTGGTTCCTCAAAACAGCCGGATTGCGCAACTAGGCCTCGTGATTGGGATCTATTGGTAGGTGGAATCTCTAGATCGAATGCGGTCGCACGACGCGGGTGGGTGGAGAGAACGATTCGCTGGGAGGAAGGCTGGAGAACCGGAGTCACGTACCGACACCTGTTCCTTCGAGTGATTCCTCGCCGATTCCACGCTCCGTGCCGCGTTCCGCGTGGAATAAACACTGTTCTCGTAGGAAACTCGCGCGGACTCGCTGCGCGGACTCATGCTGCCACGAGTCGCGCCGACTAGGCACGGATTGGCACGAAGCGCGGGAATCTTTGGCTAGCTCCGACACACAGGGCCGTTCAACCACGTCTATTTTATTTCCCCGTTATTTCAATTCCCATCTTACCAAAGGTATAGCCAAGTCACGATGTATTACGTCGTTTGTAACGCACTATGGTTTAGCAAACGTCACACGAATCAGTTAACGTATCACAAAAATCAATTAGCTAGGAAATTGTCAAATCCAAATAAATTTTCATTTAGACTAAAAAGATTCATTCCCCTAAACCTGGTACGTTGATTCTCCTAATAACTCAAACTCCGTCATTGTACCATTGTAAGTAATTAACTGATGAAGTAATCAACGATTTACGTATTTGCTTTTCACGCAGCACATAATGCTAATATTTTTACTTATAATTATAAATCTTCATTTAGACTAAAAAGATTCATTCCCCTAAACCTGGTTTGTTGGTTCTCCTAATAACTCAAACTCCATCATTGTACCATTGTAAGTAATTAACTGATGAAGTAATCAACGATTTACGTATATGCTTTCCACGCAGCACATAATGCTAACATTTTTACTTATAATTCCAAACACTAACAAATCTGCATTTTGACTAAAAAGATTCACTCCCTTAAACCTGGTCTATTTTATTTCTCTGTTATTTCAATTCACATTTTACTAAAGCCAAGTAGTATTATAGCCAAGTTACGATGTATTACGTCATTTGTAACGTACTATGGTTTAACAAACGTCACATGAATCAATTAACGTATCACAAAAATTAATTAGCTAGGAAATTGTCAAATCCAAATAAATTTTCATTTCGACTAAAAAGATTCATTCCCCTAAACCTGGTACGTCTATTCTCCTAATAACTCAAACTCCATCATTGTATAATACTATTCACACTGTAAGTAATCAACTGATGAAGTAATTAACGATTTACGTATTTGCTTTTCATGCCCCGCATAACGCTATCATTTTTACTTATAATTCTCACTTGAGGAAATGATTGTAAAATTCGTGAAGTGAGTAAAAAAAAAAAATGATTTCGATTATTTTATTTTATATTCCATTTCGAGCAATTCTTTTTCTCTCTTCCATCTGTTCTTCCATGTTATTTTCTACGTGATCATGTGTGTATAATCCGTGGCACGTGTGTGAGTTCACATTGTCTATTATTTATTTATTTATTCGTTAAACTGTGTAAATCTGTGTAGAGGAGAAAATAGGAATACAGTACGAGATATGCAGAAATATACGATGTAAAACAGGTAACGTTAAAACGACACGTGAGACGGTATTATATACAGTGCTGGACAAAAGTATTCTTACAGCATGGTTGTTGTGGAACAAGTGCTTGTAACCACTAAACAAATTGATTAGAAGGAAAAATTTTTTAACATATTCATTTATTACGTATGTACATGCATAAATATCTATGCACGAAGCTTTTGTCTTTTGTGTTCTTGTTTTGCAAACATTAGCTGCGTCCTTGTTTTCATTGTACTCGTATGTAATTAGCGAAGTGCATTCATTATAATATATAATTAGTAGAAATTAGTATACATTCTCCAATCTCACTTTTATTTTATGTATTTGTACACATACTTTTCTCCTCTTCGCACTGTTAACTTGTTTTGGTATAATTAATCCTTTGCACTGGACGACTTTTTGGGTAAAGAAGAGTAGAAAATCAAAAATTCTCTACTAACAAAATGACGATACTTTTTTGAGCAGTAAATAAGGAATCGTATAATAATAGAATCGTAGAATTATTTGATATCGATACCTCGCACACTGTTACATTACATTAAGTTTGATATATTAATTAATATCGATCTTCCAAATTTTATACTTTTTCTCTTCTTCGTACCTTTATTTTTGTGCGACTGGTGTAAATTATGATAGTTATTTTTGTTCTTCTTTTTGTTCTCTTGTCTGTATCCCTGTTTTAATTCTATACGTACAATTGGATCGTACACGTGAAGGTTGATTAATTAAAATAGCAATTTTGAAAATGCCGGTGGGATTAAAGGTGTTGTTCCCGGAACACGGTCGTAGCAATTTTTATTAAAGCGAAAAGCGTGTATACACGCGCTTTAAGTACGTCGCGTAATTATGGTTCAAAGCGCACGGTGTTGCACGCAAGCTGTATGCATTTCTCGAGCGGTTAGAAACAAGTCAGGGACGTAATTAAGAAGAATTAAACGACGTGGGATAAATAAGTAATTTAATAAACGAATACCTAAATCATAAAATATCCTAATTTGAGATTCTCGAGTTCTCGAATGGAGAATCGATGCTTCCCAAATTTCTTCGAAGAGAAGAAGAATAGCGTTCGAAAATTCCGCGTTTCTAATTTCGTAGAAGGCTCGAACTTAAGGACAGTGCCTTTTCATTCTCGATTTAGTCGGGGATACACCTCGAAACAGCGAAAGCTCTGTTTATTTCTCTATGGCGAATTTAGGATGGTCTCTGGTAAGTGTTTCCGGCCGATTTGGAACAAGGCTTTCGCGTAATCTGCTCGAGAAGAGATCAAATTTCGAGGTGCTATCGGTGACGCGGCGATTATTTAAATTGCAAAATTCCGCAGAACGTCGAGGCGTGATACAATAAAATTGATAAGCGATAAAATTGCGAACAGATAGGCGCGAACGCCTGGTAATTGCCTGTTACGAATACACCGAGAATATTACACCGAGATATTGGAATTGCGCAAAGGGTTCACGAGAAACGACGTGACGAGCGCGTTTCGCACACGCGAAATCCTAGCCCCGTTGGAAAAAATCAGCCAAGTGTGAATAACGAGAAAACGAAGCAACGTCGAGCCTGTTAAGTGCCATTTCCGCACGCCAAATGTCCATTTCGCGACGTTTCCCTCGCTCGTGATAAATCTCTCTTCGTCGACGATTATAATAGACATCGATGCAGTAAATGGAAATACAAACGCTCGTCTGTTTATCTCGTAATTATATTCTCTTGTGATGGTATTTAATATTTCGCGAGGTTTTTACTTCCGTTCGTTCATGACAGGTTTATTTTCGTCGCTATTATTATATAAAAAGAGAGACAAACGATTGTTTATTTATTTCGTAATTATTTATTTTATTTATTTTCCTAATTTAATCTATTCAAAATAGATGTAATCAGTAAATAGATAAAATTTAATCGATTTAAAGAGTTTCGATGCTACTAACAACAGTGACGAAAATTCATTCATTAAATAAAAAAGGTTTAATTATTCGATGAAATAAATCAAATATTGAACAATTATATTATTAAACGTTTTTAATTTAATTAGAATTGTAATTTGTAATGGTAAAAGGTATAATAAAAGGTTTTTACTTCCCTTCGTTCATGATAAGTTTATTTTCCTCACTATTATTATATAAAAAGAAAGACTAACGATTGTTTATTTATTTCATAATTATTTATTTTATTTGTCTTCGTTATTTAATCTATTCAAAATAGATGTAATCTATAAATAGATAAAATTTAATCGATGTAAAGAGCTTCGATGCTACTAACAACAGTGACGAAAATTAATTCATTAAATAAAAAAGGTATAATTATTCAATGAAACAAATCAAATATTGAACAATTATATTATTAAACGTTTTTAATTTAATTAGAATTGTGCAACTACTTTTCACCCGAAGATGGCAAAAAGTAATTTGATTTAATTGCAGACCAATAAAATTCGATAAATCTACTTTTTATTTTAAGGCGAAAATAATTAATTCGTTAAATAAAAAAGGTATAATTATTCAATGAAACAAATCAAATATTGAACAATTATATTATTAGACGTTTTTAATTTAATTAGAATTGTGCAACTACTTTTCACCCGAAGATGGCAAAAAGTAATTTGATTTAATTGCAGACCAATAAAATTCGATAAATCTCTTTTTTATTTTAAGGAAAATATATTGCACTGAAAATACCGAAATTATTTTCTGCCAAACTGACACGATGGACGTTGATAATACGATAAATAAAACTAAAATAAAAATAAAATTTTATAAATTTCTATATTTGTTTAATAATTGAATCAAATACTCTCCGAGATCTTCGTTAAATTTACCATTCTACGAACTGTTCATTATCGCGAATGTGACATCTCGATTTGCATTCAAATGCGTCTAGATATACACGTAACGCGTTATGTAAATCAGATATGTGTTTGATTATTGAACCGTGTTTTTAATTCTTTTCAATATCAAAGATACAATTTTTTTTTTTATATATAGTTCTACGAGCCCGGTTGCACAATGATCAACCTCGACGGCCAGTTATGCCAATTTCGTTTATACAAACGCGTTTAAACAAACACGAGGAACCATTTTACGAATCTTATCGGAAATTTCGACGTTTTGGAAGATTCTGACGAAAATACAGAATTTCTTGATCTTCCTGGATTATTTGATCGTCGGTACCATACTACCAACAGTATCGTTAAATACTAATTCCGATCGGGATGATGAGGAGTGTACATAATTTCTCTTCCAAGCCGAATATTTCGAGCGTAAAGATAAGGATCATGGCGAATGATTGATAGTTCAACGAAAAAATTCTGGATCGATTATCGATAACGCGAACGAATCTCGAGGATCATCTGTCGATACTCTGAGTACCTCGTTCGAAGAGAAAATAAGGGATTAATTTCGAATCAATAAATTCGCACGATTCCCTTGTCGATTCTTATCTGACATTCACTTTATCGTCTTTTTCGCCGATTTATTGGGATCGGAATAAACTGAACCGACGTGTCACGAATTGATCAAATTACGTAAAATAATGGACTCCAAGCAGACTGTGCATTACAAAAATCCTTTACCTTCGATGGAAGAATTAGAATAGAATATTTATAAGAATATTTATAAGAAATAATAAGAATAAACAACATTAATAAGAATAAGTAGGAATAATAAGAATAAATAAATAAGAATATTTATAATTAGAATTAGAATATTAGAATTAATCACGACTCGTTTAAAATTCTGAATAGAATTATAGTGGTATTGCGCTTTCACTTTATAAACTGTATAT